CAGGCAGCCACTATCGCCTGATCCCTTCCCAGGACGGGCATCAGACCCCCTCAGAAAGGGTTCAGTCAGCCTGGAGCCATGGCTGATCTTGTGTAAAACATTTTTATCTTGATGCAGGTATTTATTTCAGCACCCAGTTGCAGCCCAGCATGGCGGGTGCAGGACTTGGGCAGGTTTGGCAGGCATGGAGCTGTGGCTGGTGCTGGGTGACGGGACGTGCCATCTAGCGGCACGCGGGCTGTGCGCGGCGCTGCAGGAGGAGACAGGGACCTGGGCTAGCACGGCCAGGCTTGCTTGTGTAGCTCTTGTGGAAAGGTTTGAGGGGAGAGCTTTTGGTTTTGCTTTTTCCTTTTCTTTGAACTGTGCATTTGAAAATGCTTGAAACTTAATGAAGCACATGGGAGTCTTCCCACTGTCTCCAGTGGGATTTGTATCTCTCCCCTGCTGTCAAAGCATGGCAGCCAATGCTGAGATCAGGAGGAGACGGAAATGACATTCGAGTCAGATTTTTAAATTGACATCAGCGTTTCCTTCCTGCATAACATACAGCAGTGAACATCGCTGTAACTAGTCTCTGCTCTGTGTGGAGCAGAAACCAAGGGACATAACAGCTTTCATGCAAGTATGTCCTTTATAAATAAAAAATGTTCATATGTTAAATAAACAGCCTTGGAAAATTAACTGCTACCTGTGGTGTGCATGGACATCAGTAGTCCATGCTTAGTGGTGCTGATCCACCGCATGTTATTCTGGAGTAAAGGGGCCCAGCAGCCCTCCTGGCTGGAGGCTGCAGTGCCTGTTCAGATTGAGATGAAGGCCAGTCATTGCCCCCTGTGATGGCAAGTGTGTGATTTAGGGATGCCTGCCTGTTAGGATCTGGACAAGGTCCTTCAGACTCATGTGATGTGCATCAACGCATGGCAATGAGACAGTGATGGTTTTTATTGCAGCCATGGCCTCCCTCTCATCTGGGAGAGGAAGGGCTCTGTTGTGCCATTCAGCTTAGTGCCTCCCGAGCACTGGAAAAGATGTGCAGGGATTGTGTGTACAAAGGTTACAGAAAATGGCTATTCCATCTATGCTTCTCCTCAGCCTGCCTGAAATTATTCCCCTCTAGTCTCGGGCATCTTTAAAGCCCATAGTAGGCAAGACTGAACGTTACACTTTGTACTGTGCTACAGGTATGGGATTTGCAGGTGTCACCAGTGTCGTCGGCCCCTCTCTGAGCAGGAAGATGTTACGTGAAGTGCCCAGATGATTTGCAGGAAGGCTTTCTGCAACTATGCCCATCCTTACCAAGGCAGGGAAGACATCTCCTTGGTTTTGAAATTGGTTTAATCTTCACTGGTCTATTCCAAGCTGCTGGAACTGGTGTGTGACATCCCATCTGAAGCTGTAAGCAAGTCTCTTGTGTCTCAGAGGAAAACAAAAATAGTGTTCACTGCTGCCAACCAGCATGTCACAAGATAAAAATCCTGTCCTGGCCCCTGCAGGGAAACCGCTGATTCCCTAATTGGGAAAAGGGTCTGACAGCAGTTTCCCAAAGTTGCTCACTTCTGTGAAATGGGGCAGAGTATTCAGTTTTGCCATGCCAGAATTGGCTGCCCTGTGTCCCCGTACCACTTCTTAGTGACTACTTCCTTTCTGCTCCTTTCAGTGTGTTAGTCTCTGCAAGCACTCCAGAAGGGCCAGTAAGTTAAAACACCTTAAGCTGATTTTTTTTTTTTTTTTTAACCAGTGGGTGCCAGATGGACATGTGACACCAGAGCACACGTACAGTGCCTGGACATCTGGCAGAGCTCTTCCATGAGAATCCATCGGATGGTCCCCACAGGGAGTTCGGAGAAGTTGTACATGCAGCTTTCTGCTGTGCAAATAAGCCAATTTAGTTATGACACATTATTTCTAATTGTCTGTCTACAGCTCAGAACTGATCTCCATGTTGCTGAAACTCTGCTCACGTCTCCATGTGCAAATGGAGGGCAGGTGAACGTCATGGTTAAAATTGCAAATGAGGCCATTTGTTCAAAGTCTGGAAAGGGACTGAGGCCTTTTCTAAGCTCAGATATCTGTATTGTGACTGTGGGCTTTCACTGGGGATCAGACCTGAAATCCATAGCCAGATCATAACTATTCCAAAATTTTGGAGTTTTTTTCGGATTTCTCCTGATCAACAGAAATGTTTAATAAGTTCTGATGTCTACTTTAATAAAACATGTACTGTATGCTGTGAAAATGGAGCTTCTGGCTTGAATATAGACAGTGTGTGAGTAATCTGTAACATCATCACCAGTAACAAGACCATTTTGAATGAAACTGTCTTTTGCAAGACCAAGGCAGCCCTGTTGTGTCCAGCTGGAAGCTGATAGATCCGTCTCTTGAAGAATAATTCTGAGAAACCTTGTTCCCGGTCGTGAATGTTGCTCCAGTTTTTCTCAGTTGAAACAAACAATAGACAGGTTTTTTTCTGGTTATTACGTTTCTTGACAGTGGTTTTTTGGTGGTGTTTTTTTTTTTAATATACCTTATGCAACAGCCTTCCCAGAAAGAAGAAACCAACTGTGTCTTGTTAAAAAGGAGAGTGAAGGGTAGAAGTGGGTGGACAGTCCCCTCCCACACCTCAAAGCCAGCTTTCCCAAGCTCCTGATCTGAACTTGTATATGTGGGTCCTGGTGTGTGCCTTCTCCTCTTTAAAGCGTGTGCTCCTGGAATGAAAGAGCCAGGATAATACTTTTTCTCTAAAATCCACAGCAAGTGCAACTGTGGTTTTAGCTTTGGAAGTGACTTTCTGAATTTGAATATATACATGTATATATAAAAAATACCTTTTTTTTTCCACTCCAGAAGTGAATTTCTGAAGTTGACTGTAAGATCTTTAAAGCAAAACAAACTCTGTTTGGCCTCCAAAGTTTTCTTGAAGAACATTTTCAGCTCATCTGAAGATGATAGTTGATTTGAACTGTGGTACCCATAGTGGCTTGTACAATCCAAAGTGTTGCTGCTGTGAATAGAAGATCTGTCATCTCACAGACCAGCCTCAGATTTTGACACTTCTCCAACAAGTTGGTTCTTCCAGAGAGTGTCTGGGAGTAATGAGAGTTAATATGAGGGGCTATTAGATTTCAGAGAGAAGTTTTCCTTGCTGGATAAACATAGCTTGTAATCTTACAGAGATATATTGGCCTATTTGGATGACAGGGTGGTTCCCAAGTAGGGGAAGCAGTTTGCTTAGCCAGAAATCGTCTCCTGTTTCTTATTCATGGAAAAATCTTGTCTTCAAACCAAAGTTTGTTGTTTGATTATCTTGGTGTGGGCGTATAGTGCATTCTTTTGGCTCCGCTTGTACTTATGTTGAGTTTAGCTATCGAAAGGTCCTATGGTAATGTGTGGCACATAGGCGTTTACCACCAAACACCTGTTTGAGATCCCTCCTCAGGTTGCAATACGAAAGGAGCCTTGTGATACCGTTTCGGTCTGTCATCATAATCTGCCTCACAGCAATACTTTTTGTCCGTGAGAGGTCTGCCTCTCAATGTTCTTGAAACACAGGACCTTGCTTCTTGCCAGTCTGCATCCAGACTGGTGTGTTTTTAACACTGGAAGATAATACGGGCTCGTTTATAGCATGTCTTGGCGTGACATCTTCATGCATAGTGGATATGAGTTTGTCAGCTGTAAGAACAACCTGTGCGGTCCTGCACTGGAGCCCTGATGTCAGAACCACCAAAAATAACCATTCCCAATCCAAAACACATCAGTCTGGGTTAAAACACACAGCTTCTGCTCCTCCTCTGCTCTGCTCTTTTGTTCTGGGGT